GCTTCACTTTTAAGTTCCAAAGGGATCATAAAGAATTCCTTTTAAAGTGGAGAGGTTGTTCTGAAGATTTAATGTCACATGTGACCATATTTCCTAGTTATAGGACACATTAATTTTTTTTTTTTTTAAAATCTCAGGTTAAAAGGTTCCATTACAAAACTATACATAAAATTCATGGCTCCAGTTGCAGGACAAGAGTTAGAAACAAAGCTAGTCAACATTAAAACACCCCAAAGTATTTAAAGAAAATAGATACTAAAACTCAGCCTGCTGGATGTTGGGCAGGGAAGAAGAAAGAATGCTGAAAGCAAGAATAGGAGGGCAATAGTGGTTGTTAACTTTGGGATATGTTTCATTTAAGAACTGATACTATAAACAGTTCTTCATTGTTTCTATACTATAAAAGTTTGACTACTCTAGAAGACTGAGCTGCAGTAAGAAAACTTCATGATTTTTTTTTGTTTGCCTGATGCAAAGTACTGTTAAAGTCAGGTATTCTTGATTAGTAACTTAGAAGTCTCAGCCAAGAAAGACTTAGCATATCTAAAAGAAATGAATGCACATAATTTGCATCTCTCCTGGTTAGGTGGAGTATAAAGTGGACTTCCTATGGACCTGTGTGCTTGGTAAAATATTTGATACCTTTACCTTTCTAAAAATAAAGCCAAATCCTTCTTGAATTGAAGTACCAAAAAGAGCCTCAATCTCCTGCATGCTCTGAAAACCATGCTATCCTTTTCTTCTGCACTGTCTCACTGTTACCAGTCTTAAAAATATTACAGAAATAGTGTAAGTTAGCCCCTGTTTACTGCTAACAGCTTACGTAGTTACCAATACTACAGAAAATAAGTAGATCCAAATCTAAACAGCACTGTCACCCACATGCTAACTTTTGCCTTTTGATCTTGCAACCAGAGGAGATATGAATAGAATAGACAATTTTTAGGGTGTCCTGCTACAAACAGAATCACAAATATTTCACATGGACTCCTCCCCCGTGAGAAGCGAGGTAAGTTTACTTACTCTCTTTTACCACATGCTGCAATACCTCAAATGTGCTGTCACTTAAGATCACGCATACAGTTCATTACCGCTACTCAGCTAAGTAGAGGATGCTTAAGGAACTGCTGTAATGTGATTCTGCTTTTGAGCTTAGTTTCAGAAAAGTGTTTCAGTGACTATCTGCATCTTCCCGTTCTAATGTCAAAGCATTAGGTATGTCTAGTTTAAGATGAAGTTTCCTGAAAATACGCTTTTATGGTGATGAGCACGTAAGCACATCGCATACCAGTTATAACTAAGATTTCAGCAGTTCTTTAATACACTTGATGGTAGTTCCACAATTCCAGGGTTTTCCTTGGGTTAGGAGCAAACTTTTACACAGAGAAATGGGATAATGGAGAGCTTCTGTCTTCATTATCAATGAAAAGATACTGAGAACGTAATTGGTAGATACAGTACTGCTTAGCTTTCTCCTAGACAGAACAGAAATGAAAAGTTTACATACATTCAAGGTGTTTATGGCCAGCTTATTGTCCAAGGACTTTGCTAGCAACAGGCACTAAACAGAAGTGAGATTTTTATGATGTAGGCATCAGGGTATGTTGTCTTATTTGATGCATCTCCTTCAGAAAAGGATTCCCAACGCTTCATCCCATGTGATGACTTTGATGAGCACATAGTGACCTTGTTAATATAGATAATAAACAAGCTTCCCAGATAAAGAGATCTTAATTAACATAAATGAGACTTCTATTTCAAAGGCCAAAGAGAAAAGAAAAAATGTAAAGATGCCTACAAACCAAATCAAAAGGTTTTAACCTGTTAAACTCACATTTTCCTTTTCACTCCTTTGTTATTTTCTCTTCTTTATGCACAACAGTTTAAAAAGAAATATTATGATTTTTATTTCAACAATAAACAGAAACCACTGCAACTGCCTAAGTTCTGTTTCAGGAAAGTCTGATGAAGACACATTCAATCTGCTTTTATAAGGTAAAACTACAAATTTGGGGCAGCTAAATTATTTGTTCAAATGCACATGCCCAACTCTAGCAAAGTGTCTTTATGAGATTTTCTTTTCAACTGAGAGGAGGTTTTTTATTCTCCTGGCATGGGAAACACTGCTGTGTTCACCTTGAGGGACAACCATGCAAAACACTGCAGCTTTTTAAACCTGAAGATCGTTTCCAGCTCTGTGAACCAGAACTTGCACAATCTCGTGAGATATGTCTGCCTAAGTACTTGTATTATTCAGAACAATTTGCATCTTCAGAATCCGAGATACTGGAAGGAAGAGAAGGTTCCTACCTTCAGACTTAAATATCCAAGGTTAAATCAGGCTGAGAGCCAGTTGGCAACAGTTCCCTCCCAGAGGGTTTTCAGGAATTTCCCCTGGTTCATCCATTGAACTGCCACAGAATAAAATGAATAGGGGAAGATTGTTGAAAAGGTGATTTATGGGAAGATTCTACATTTGTGATTCCCAAGTAAGAATACTAAATTAAGAGAACTACTTCCTTTCAGAGTTGCAAGGAGTACAATACTGTAAAAGGGGACAGACGCTTCCTTAACCAAACGAACAAGGCTCTCAGCAGAGGTGAAGAAGCACTATGTTTCACAGAGAAGAGCAGCAGCAGCAGCATTTAGAGCCCTCTGCTGCCACCAAGATCAGAGAACCACAAAATCCACTGTTTGCTTGGGACAGGAGGGATTAGTCAGACAAAGCACCTTAACAAAAGCAAACGATGGTACTGGGCAGTTCCATTAGCAATAAAAACTTTAGTTAGTGAACAAAAAGCTAATATTGATCTTTATGCTTTAACAAAGGTCTTTTAAATTTAAACTATCTATAATATATGACGTAAATAAAATTATACTGCACACACTTAAAAGACAAGGATGTGTACTGACAGTAGCATATTAAAAAATATGATATAAACTGCAAATATGGAAAATTATCTGTATGCCTTGTTTATATCATACTTGTTTTGAATACACTTGAGCTGTTGTTAAGTTTCAGTATGATTTTCAGTGAACCAAAATAAACATTAAGGATGTAAGAAAATCCCTGATCATCTACTACTAAGTGAATAGCAATCATTTTCCAGTGAGTTTCTGCTTACATTAAAAAAAAAGAAATCCCAAACCAACAAACAAAAAAGCCCCAATCCATTAGCAATGACTGTTTCTGGCCAAGACACAATAGAAAGCTGTTTCAATGCCCAGTGTGAACTAGCAACAGATCAACTTACTGAAATCTAACTGGGCCTTGAATTGAAAGGTAAAACCAGTGAAAAGCAGATTTCACAAATTGCTTCATAAAAGCTACTATAGAGCAGCCTCAGCTGAAACAGGACCAACGCGTCCAGGATTCTATGCAAACAGTAAATGCCTAATTTATATAAGAAAAAGGGATTCAGGTAGTGTAAAATAGATACATTAAGTGTTTCTGAAATGACTGAAAAATTTAGAGCACTGATAAAAACAAAAAGGCTGCTTATATTAAATATTTAGTCAACAAACTGGTCATAAAAGTATTTCCATAAACATAAAGAAAGCCCAATTAGTTTCAGAAGCCTGAGCACAGCTTAATCTTAGCTGTAAATACCAAGGAGCAGAATTTTTGTAACAATGTGTGTAGGGTATTTACACACCCCAAAAAACAATGCCTAGGTATTCACTTAATTTACACAAACCAGAAAATGAAGTTAGGAAAACAGCCTCATATACAATCGTAATTAAATACAAGCCTGATGAAGATGTGCTATGGAAAAGAGAGAAAATCAGTGATACAAAAGTTATTAAGAGTGAGATTTTTCAAAAATATTTCTTACGCATTTCTGATTATTGAACCTCTAGCATCTTTGAAAAAGAAAGGCAGAAAGTAAACAACAAAACATGGATTGGATTTAATTGTATCTGTATAAGTATCAGAACAAAAAAGTCATGCTAATTCTGTTATGTGTTGTAGTCCTTAACACTGAACTTACACCTTTTCCATCTGCAGAACTCAAAGAATTTCATACAAGACAGATAAAATGCAGTAGCATCAACTTAAACAGGTGAATACCTGAAGCCTATGACAGTCAAGTATTGGCATATCTCACAACACCAGATTAAGATTTTACTACCCCACTCTACCTTTGCCAGGAGTTCCAGTAGCAGCACAGAGGTAGCAGAAGAAAGCACTAAAGAAAGTGGGTTTGACTTGATGTTTCTAAACCAGAATCCCGCTAAGTCCCTCGGATGCTGTAGGTCAATTCAGCAGTGCTCAGGAGTTAAAGCAATACATTGAACTAAAGCAACTGAAATATGGCAGTAGTTGCCTGAAGTTGCTGATAAATAAAAGGAGAGTAGGCCAAAACTGGAACTACAGTGCTTTAAACTGACACAGCAAGATTTACTAGACTGTGTTTGTCAAAGGACTTGAAACAAACTGAATTTGGGCAAATTAAATTCCTCCGGCAAGGTAGCATTCATTTTTTGAATCTCCCCCAATGCTACAAGTTTGGATACAAATGCAAAACCAGCCAATTACTCAAGAGTAATCATTTACTGCTCAGCTGAGCTAAGGGCACATTCTCAGTCCACCCAGTTACAAAACAGAAAATGTACAACTTTTGTGATGAAGGTTTAAGCTAATGCATTTTCCTGTGTGACTGCATGCACAGCCTCATCTTATTGTGGTCAATTTCTACAGTTTAAGAAGCAGGAGTTACTTGCTTTTTCATGTCTCAACTTAATTCCAAAAAACAAGGCATCACAAGGAAACTTTAACGTAGTCTTTAAATTGCAATTTTTTACTTTTAGTTTCTACAAAATGATCTCTTATGAAGAAGGCAAATTTCTAAACTATTTTTTTGCTGTACACTAAAAATTAAAGCAGGATTATACTGATGACGAGTAAGTGGTTTCTTACCTTCTAACTACAGTTTGCATTCATATTAGAAAACAGAAATTAGTTTTCAACTTCTAAAGCTTTTCTGTACAAGCAAAACAGTGAAGAAAAGGATATTTTCCTGGAGTTTCAATACCCACTCTGTAGTCCACGTAACTTTGATATGGATGGAAGTTGAAAATAAAAATGAGACCTGCTCTCTCAAATGCTATGACCTTATTGGATTCATGCTTTTCACTTACAAAGGCCTAGGAAAGAAAAAATAAAAATCTAATACTGTAAAATATTTCATTTCTAACTGAATTAACATAAAAAAAAGAAAAACCCCACTGCTTCTATACCTTATTCCAAGTAAAACAGTCAAAGATTCAAGCAACATAGATAAGGGCATTAACATGCAAACTGAAATTGTTTACCTATGTAATGTCATATAAGATTTTTGAGTACTAAACTGTAGCTTACTTTTTATAAGCCAACGTAAAATTAAAGAGTTAGAAGCATGTTAGGTACAGAGTACTTGAAAAATTCTTGCTTAAAGATCAGTAACACGGTCTTTTTATCACACTTTAGCAAAAAATGGATTCCTTTTATCAAATCAGATCTTCAGTCTGCTTGTTATGGGGATCTGCATTCCATCTACTGTTAGTAGTTCAGAAAGTGAAGCACTGGATATGTTTTTTTGTTTGTTTTTCAAAACCTGTGTGAGAAATAGCTTTGATAAGCCACATTAAACTGTTGCACATACCACCTTTGTTCTATTTGCTAAAGCCATTAATAAATAACTTGACATCCATTTAAAAAATTCTTTAAAGTGGATTATGACTAGTATGGAATAATTAAACACTGACAAATTATAATAATTGAGTTGCTTTGATAAAAAGTACAGTGCAATATTTGGCTAAAAAAGGTAAATACAAAAGTGCCAGGTTGAAGACCAGGAGACTATATACCCTACTGAAAGTGTTTTCTCAGTAACAGAGTAATAATTTATATAAAGTAAATTGTCAGAACAATTTACAGTTTCCCAAAGCAATCCTTGGATTGGATTACAGACAATTTTATAGCCTGCTTTACTTTATCCAATCTGCAGTTACTAAATAAAAATAGCAAAAATAATAGGAAAAGAGCTTGCTATAAAGCTAAAAGGAGACTGTTTCACATTTCTATTATCTGTGGAAGATATTTCAGTGACACGTTTTGACAACTTGAAATATATGGTGGGGCATTACGCAGTGCATAATAAAGTGCTGTTTAAAATTTCTGCATGCAAATTTGGTATTCTTGTTATTCTGAACATGTACCCAACTGGTGACTAAAAACTTATCATTTAGTATATATAGCTTACCGGGGGAGATGCAAGCCAGCCAAATCTTTCCTCCAATTTATTCATATCTCTATCAAATGTATTTAGGAATCTATAGCGAAGAAGATGATCCTCAGTAAGATTAAACTGTCTTCTGGCATAGTGGTAGCTCTCATTATTCCCTTTTCTGGGGAAGTCAAGCCATTCCGGATGTCCAAATTCATTACCTACATTTAAAAATATTAAGGATCTGTGAAATCATGTGCTAAAAATAGAATAAAACTGCAAAAGAAAGATACATTAAAGTGTATTTCCTTTCTACAAGTGTTAAATTCCAAAGAATAATTCTCCATATATAAATACTCATTTTGATATTAAAATGTCTCTCAGATCTTTCATACTTGTGCCAGGTTTGTTTGACCAGTGAAACCACCAGAGCAAAATATCCATGGACTCCAGGGGAAACATAAAGTGCTAAATGAATTATAACCTCTATGCTATCATGCCATGCTTAAAAATTTCTCATCCTTTAAAGAGGGCAACAGAAATTCAGTCAACCGGGATACAAATTTTAGAGTCACTATGAAACCTAAACCCATCACTTTAACAGTAGAAATCCATTGTTTTAGAGCACTTAACAGAAATCAGCGCTACCGTTCGTTTAACCGCAGAGGCAGAAATCTCCCATTTTATCATTTAAACTTCAATTAAAAGACCAGTTAGATGCACTTTGACCACTTTTTTTGAACTTTTTATCCTGGCTATAAATACTGTCATTATTGTTTCCACAGTGGTATAAAAATAACTATTTAATAAGATGACTTGAATCTCGGTTCCTCACTTCCTAGAAAAATTCAAAAAGACATCCTAGTTCAAGTAGCAGGCTAGATTATAGACAGTAAAGTGCAATGCTTAATGATGATGCATTCAGTATTTGATACTGAAAATAAGTGACTTCAGGGGTGTGACAACTCAGGAAATCTAACAGTACAGGTCAATTCAGCAACCTTGCAAGGGGAGCTCCTTTTCCAAACATAACACACTGTCACGAGCACCAGAGACATTTCAGGTTGGAATGAAGCATGATTGAGCACTGTGTTCCTCTGTATGCCCACCCGATCAGGTCCCTTTGTGCATGTGTAAATGCCACTGTATTTCATTTTCTATAACAGCAGTGCTTCACAAGTTTGCCAGTCTCATCTTGATTATCTAGCCCACAGAACTACTGAATAGACTTTAAGACAAGGAATAGGTTTATTCAGACATAGATCACACACCATTAAAAAAGAAGGAAAAAAGTAATTTAATCAAGAAAAAGCTTAACTTCCCTTATGTAGAATCTCCAAAGCAAATCTCAGCTGTCAAAGCTGAAGTTTCACAGCAACACCTCATTTGGGAGTCAGTATTTTGAATGACTTTCATGTATCCAAAGTCGTCTTGTTTTATATACTGTCATTATTGCAGTTTGAGACAAATCCAAATGGACTTAATGGTTCTACCTCGTGCTATAATCCGCTGCCTAGCAGACTCTCAGTCATTTTAGACTATTCATTTTACACAGGATTAAAATGTGTTAAGTGCCTTGAAAGTTAAACACACATTTCAAAGCCTATGACAGTTGATTCATCACAAACATTTCATAGAGATTACACAGAACATCTACTCACCATAAAACAGAGACAAGTAGTGTACCTGGAAATATGTATGGGAAGCAGTATGATCAAATTTAAGAGGGTTTCTATTTTTTTTTAAAAAAAAAAAGGATCCTAACTACTTCTACAAGCAGTTACTCAAGTTTTGTCAATAAACTGGAGGTTTGTGGGAAGATGAAGGGCAGGGATGCTGAGAGAAAGCAAACGTTGTTTCCTGGATGGATACCCTACATGTGCAGCCACCATCTGCTGTCCCACACAGCCTGCACTGCCTGGAAGGCCTGGAGGATATGGTCAGCAGTGACAACTATGAATGTACATTTTCAAAGTGATTTTTGTATATTTCCATGCTTCACAGGAACAAAGAAATGAACAGAGAACAAAAAAGAAAGGCTGCATATATATTTAGGAGAATCCTTCACAGTGGTATCCATTTTGTAAACGAACTGACAAGTTGTAAATTAAATTTCCCGTTCAAAAGCTAAACCACTAAATTTCATATTCAGCTCAAAACCAGAAACAAATATAAAAGAATCAGAATCGCAGCAGGACTTTGAAAATGACCTTGGAATAATGCTGGACTGAGCTCTTAAACTGTGCTAACAATACGGTACGGAAAATGAGGAAAGATATTGCTACAAAACAGACACTGTATCTAACTAAATTCAATATTCTTGTAAGAGCTGGGCGAAGTATTACCTTCTTTCATGATCTGTGCACTATTGAAAAGATAGACTACATGAGATAGTTCAGTTAAAGATAGCAAAAACCATCAGAAAGTCAGAGATGATCTGTATCTTGAAAAGATAGCCAAGAAAATCGTACCTATTTGTTCAAGAAAAACATAAAAACAGGGGAAATAAGCAACAGAAGATAGCAAATAAGTTAGACTAAACTAGCCCATCATTTCAATAGAGTATTTCACTGTAAGTAGAAAGTTTATACCATATACGAACTCCCCCACCTCCACTCGCTTTGCCTGTTTCCCCACAAAAGTTCTTTGAATGCTGCATTTTGTTGGTTTTTTTTTTTAAAGAACAATAGAAGCACAGCAAAGTACAAAAGCAATGTTATTGTTCTAGCCATTACTAATGGTCATTAAGAAAAAAGGAATTTAACATAGTGCAGCAACCTGATAGAAGATTAAATTACTTACTAATGTCTGTAAAGCATGTTGAGGGTCTAAACACTGACTGCTCGCAGTTTAAACGTGTTTCTGTGGGCACCTTCTGGACAACACCCTCATGAGTTTTTTGCATGTGTTGCTTGATTTTAAAAGGGTCCCTTGATTTCTCTTTTGAGAAAGAAAAATAGAAGTTCATACATAATGACAGAACAAGTTGAAGTAGGCATTTTTGGTTATGTTTTTAAGATGTGGTATAGGGAGAAGGAACTAACATTTAGGATGCAAGCAGGCCTTCCAATAAACTCCAGAGAGTGTTTTTGCACTTGAGATGCACTGAGGCTATCTAAAAAGAAGCATGACCGGCAGGTCGAGGGAAGTGATTGTTCTCCTCTACTCCACTCTCATGAGACCCCACCTGGAGTACTGTGTTTAGCTCTGGGGCCCCCAACATAAGAAGGACATAGACCTGTTGGAGTGAATCCAGGGGAGGGCCACGAAGATGATCAGAGGGCTGGAGAACTGCTCCTAGGAAGGCAGGCTGAGAGTTGGGGTTGTTCAGCCTGGAGAAGGGAAGACTCCAGGGAGACCTTATAGCAGCCTTGCAGTACTTAAAGGGGGCCTACAAGAAAGCCAGAGAGGGACTTTTTACCAGGGCATGTAGTGATAGGACAAGGGGTGATGGCTTTAAACTGAAAGAGGGTAGTTTTAGATTAGATGTAAGGAAGAAGCTCTTCACTGTCAGGGTGGTGAGATACTGGAACAGATTTCCCAGAGAGGTTGTGGATGTCCCATCCCTGGAAGTGTTCAAGGCCAGGTTGGATGGGGCCTTAAGCAACCTGGTCTAGTGGAAGGTGTTCCTGCCCATGGCAGGAGGGTTGGAACTAGATGACCTTTAACATCCCTTCCAACCCAACCTATTCTATGATTGTAAAATCTTTTAAAAAAAACACACCTCATACTTTTTTTTTTTTTCTTAATTGCTATTTTTTCCTAATTTAACTTTACAACAAATGAGGGGAGGGTCTAGGAAAGGGAAGGTACAGGTAACTGACCAACACTCATTTCTAGAGATAACTAATGCTACCTGTGATGCACGCACTGCCCCCTTCCCCATGTTCCACTTCTCATTTCTGAGAAGAATCAGCAACATTCACTTCTTGATAATTGTGAAAGCCTCTAAGCATAGAAGTACTATCTGGGTTTCTTTTCCTGTAATTAATTTGCTGTTTGATGTAAAGGTCCGAACTACAGATTGACAAGAAGCCAGCTGCTACAAATGATACAAATCAAGACAATGGAACTAATGTGGGGGAGGCAGAGAACAAAGCTGAAATTAGCTGAAATTTTGATTAGAGAAACAAACCAAAGACAAATCATTGAAGTGCAATGCCTACTAATTTTATCTAGGAATTAATTCAAGTTTGCTACTTCCTACATATTGCACATATAGGACAACTTTACTATGTACAAGATTTCAAGATCACAATTTTAACAAACAAATTAACTTCCTATTACTATAATGAAAATTTACATCACACTTGTTTATTAGGCTAGAAATGCATTTACACCACAAAGTAGTTATGTTCCTGATGACTGCTTTGAAGCTTCTCCCCACAGGTCATTAAAGTTTTCTTAATCTCTCTTCTTTAGACATTTTTACTAGCAATTCTCTCTCAAAGAATCAGGCTAAGCAGAACTGAAGGCATATTTAAAAGATGCAGCAAGCAGTGTCAAGAGATGCCTGTTATTTTGGTTTGTTTGTATTTTGAATTAAGTATGACATTAAATACTTTAAAAGCAGTTAAAGCAAGTAGTTTATTTGATACATCAAAGATAAGAGTTTAATTACATGTGGAAGGCTGAACAAGTTCTTAAACGATCTAAAATGCTATAAAAAAGATCCTATTTAAAGCTGATGAACTGGAGACTGAACACATTGGGACAAAATTTCAACAGTTCCACCTTAACATATTTCTATCAAAGTAAGTAGAATTACGCCAATTTACACAAGCCAGATAATCAATTCATTCAGGAGTTGTAACTGATTTGAATTTAACCTCACTACCTTTGTGAACAATGATGACAATGCAACAATCTGCAGATTATAAATAGAATCAATGTAAACTAGATCTAGTTAGCATACGGTATTTATCATTATTTCAAAAAATAAACTTTTCAAACAATTAATCCTCATTTTCCCTAGTTGTGAAGCTCTTGGATATTAAGTAATTCTGATACTTTGTATTTACTCATGTTTGTACCGAATCTTTTAAACATTAATACTACCAAAACCAAATAAGAAACTCTATATTGCCTTCAAATTATGAGAGAATGGGCTTCATTACAAGCATTCATTAAATCTTGTCATCCATGTAACAATATAATAAAGTGAAATTCCAAATGGACTCCTCCTGAAACACTTGGCTTAGATCACTGGGAGACCTTAATT